AGTTGCAGCCTCACTGTCCTCCTGAGGGTAGAGGATCTGCTCTCTGTTGTCTGCGTCAAAACGAGCATAGAAGTTGTTGAGCTGCGAGAGATGCAGCGGGCTGAACACTGACTGTGTTGACCTTCTTGTAGTCAGTGATGCAGCGCAGTCCATCCCACAGTCGCCTGGTGTCAAAGCTGTGGTAGCTGGACTCCATTTTGTCCCTGTAGTCCTTTCTGGCCTTTTTTATGGACTTTTGGAGGTCGTACCTGGCTGCTTTATATGCATCAGCATCCCCGGAGTTAAAGGCAGAGGTCCGCACTTTTAGCTTGGCACAAACAGCTTTATTTACCCAGGGCTTCTGATTGGATATATGCGGACTGTGGTTTTTGTGATCATCCATGCACTTTCCAATATTATATATCCAAGATTAGTGTTTCGAGTAAGTGCTGCATAATTATCTCAGGTGAAGTGAGAGTGAAATTTCTATTGTAGTTTCTCCAGCATTTTTTTTTAATTGAAAATAGAATAGAATTCAACTTTATTGTCATTGCACATGCACAGGTACAGGGCAACGAAATGCAGTTTGCATCCATCCAGAAGTGCTTTAGCCATGATATAGATATATTACAATATATATTAGCAATAATATAGATATGTGAGTGTATTACAGAAATGGGTCTCTTATGGTATGTTATAATGTACACGGTATGAAGTATGTTATGAATATTCTATAACTATAAGTATGTACAGGCTGTAGTGAGTACAAGCTATGTACAGGCTATAAATATGAAATAAAAAACTATACAGAAGATGAGATATACAGTTATACAGAGATGTGAACTATGCAGGTTATAAACAGTTGTAGGGTTAAAAATTATCGTATGTACAGAATGATTATTTGCACAGAGCTATACAGTAGTGCAGTTAAGATAAGTGAGATATGTGGATAATTTCTACAGAGGCTGTATAAAGTGCTGGTGGTTGTGAGTGGTGGTTCAGTCCATGTTATCATTGCTACCACACTGTGACTAAGAATAGAACACAGTCCTGGTAGTTTCCTGCAAAAGTACACAACATGTTTATCTGTTCAAGACTTTTCTGTTGCTATAGCACACTAAGTGGCTGTTTCAGGCCAGTTTCCACCTTTACAGTGGCAAAAACCGTTTTATTATTTACTATTTTAGGCCTATTCTGTACTACTGAGTTGGTCTGTTTTGTGTTTGTTTTTTTGTTTTTGTTTTTGTTTTGTTTTTAAATTTTGCTCAGTTTATAATAAAGCTCAGTTGCTCAGGTTGTGTTTCATGTAAGACTGACAAAGCTGTGACACCATGAGTGCAGTAGGTTCCTTGCTTCACGGCTGACCCCTCACTGCAATTGTGAATTTGCTGTTGGAAATTAAAACCACAAGTAAATAATCCGTTGTGTGGCTTCACACTTTATAGCTTTAAATAATGTTTAATGATTCATCCAGTCCTTTTTCTTTACAGGCTGCGAGAGTGACTTTTGGGGTCCACACTGCAGTAACCGCTGTCAGTGCCGCAACGGTGCCAAATGTAACCCAATAACAGGAGCGTGCGTCTGCACTGATGGCTACCAGGGCTGGCGCTGTGAGGAGCCCTGTGACCCCAAATTCTATGGCAAAGACTGCCTGCTGGAGTGCCAGTGCCTTAATGGCGCTACCTGCCATCACCAGACTGGCGAGTGCCTCTGTGCACCTGGATACACTGGGGCCTTGTGAGTTGAGTAACATTAAATAGGGCTGCATGTCTTTCAATATGAGAAACAGCTTGTTGATAATTAATATATTAATGCATTTGACTGTTTTAAATGCGTATGATTTTTTTAAACAGTTACAAATCTGAATATTAGCATACAAAGCAGTATAACATATCCACATTTTCTACACATTTCTATTTCAGTCGAGTCTAAACGTAAAAACAATGCTTTGGTGTCCATACTTTCAAATTTGGGCAGAAAATTATGTAGCAGCATTACAATCTACACTACCAATCAAAAGTGTGGGCACACCTTCCCATTTAATATATTTTCATGACTATTTACATTGTCGATTCTCATTGAAGGCATCAAGACTATGGATGAACACATATGGAATTATGTGGTAAACAAGAAAGTTTGAAATAACTCAAAAAATAACTCTTTAAAAAAGCTACCCTTTGCTTTGATTACTGCTTTGCACACTCTTGGCATTCTCTCAATGGATTCTCTCCAGCTGCACCATTGCACACAAAAAGGCCCTTCATGGGGTCATTAATATGGCCCAAAAAATCACTGGACATCCTCTTCCCTCCCTGAAGGACCTGTACAGCACTCACTGTCTCAAAAGGGCATGCAGCATCCTACTGGACTGTACACAGCCAGGACACCGGGTGTTTAAGCTGCTGCCATCTGGCAGGAGATTCATGCTGCTGAGGTCGCAGACAAACAGACTCGAGGACAGATTTTACAACAGGGCAATGCTACGAGCTGACCTGATTGGCTACTTCGTTGGACTTTTTGGGGGAAAAATAATAATGTGCAATAAACATTCACTTACTGTTTTTGCCCGTACCTTTCTTGCACTTTTTTTAAAGCCACTTTGAAGTCCACTGTGTTGTGTTTTGTTGTGTTGACTTGTGCTGATATGGGACAGTTTCCAATTTCACTGAACTATTGTAGTAAGTAAGACTGTGCAATGACAAAAAAAAGAGTCATCTTATCTTATGAGGTCGTCACCTGAAATGGTTTTCCAACAGTCTTGAAGGAGTTCCCAGAAATGCTGAGCTCTTGTTGGCACTTTTGCCTTCACTCTGCGGTCCCTCTCATCCCAAACCATCTCCATTGGGTTTAGGTCAGGTGACTGTGGAGGCCGGGCAGCACTCCATCACTCTCCTTCTTGGTCAAATAGCCCTCACACAGCCCGGAGGTGAAGAATAAATGATGGTCCAACTAAACGCAAACTGGATGCGATGGCATGTTGCTGCAGGATGCTGTGGTACCCATGCTGGTTCAGTGTGCCTCCAGTTTTGAATAAATCCTCAACAGTGTCAGCAGCAAAGCACCCCCACACCATCACACCTCCTCAGTGCTTCATGTTGGGAACCATGGGTGTAGAGATCATCTGGTCACTTTTTTGGCGTCGCACAAAGACACGATCGGTGGAATCAAAGATCTCAAATTTGGACCAGACCAAAGCACAGATTTCCACTGGTCTAAAGTCCATTCCTCGTGTTTCTTGGCCCAAAGAAATCTCTTCTGCTTGTTGCTTTTCCTTAGGTCATTGAATAGAAAGTGATATTTTTCAGTGTTTCAATTTCACGCAGTCTCCTCTGAACAGTTGATGTAAAGATGTGTCTGCTAGTGGAACTCTGTGTGCCATTGATCTGTGCTCTAGTCTGAGGTGCTGTTACCTCAGCACCAGAAGTGACTCTTGGTCTTCCTTTCCTGGGGCGGTCCTCATGTGAGCCACTTTTATTGTAGCTCTTGATGGTTTTTGTGACTGTACTTGGAGACACATTCAAAGTTTTTGCAATTTTTCAGACTGACTGTCATTTCGTAATATGAATTCTAGCATTTGTCAAATAGAGCTGTCAGCTGTGTACCAACCTGACTTCTGCACAACACAACTGATGGTCCCAACCCCATTAGGAAGGCAAGAAACTCCACAAATGAACCCTGACAAGCCACAGCTGTGAAGTGAAAACCATTTCAGGGGACTGCATCATGAAGCTCATTGAGAGAAGACCAAGGGTTTGCAGCCATAGACCCGATATGTGTCATCCTTACATTAAGACCAGATGAGGCTTCGGCAAACAGTATCTGGTTCATCCAGGTCAGCTGCATCTCAGGTCCTGTGTTATTGGATTGTTTCCTATTTCTGGAGGACATGACTTTCAGTTATTGTTCATCTTTAGGCCTGCCATTTCTTCTTTTATCATTGACTTGTTCAGATTCCTCAGTCTCTTAAGGACACATTGCACACAATGCTGAGATAATTTTTGGCCAGCAGCCCTTTGAGAATCACCTTGTTGGTGATTGTTTGCCTTCTCTCTTTTCTCTGTGTCATTGTAGGGTCTTTACCTTACAGTTTAAAGCACTTTGAGGCAACTGTTCACAATTGAATTGAATTGTCAGATTGTGTTATCTTTGTTATAGACCACTTTAAAATAAAAAAGAAAAGAAAATGAGAGCTTCCTCAAGCCTCGCGTCGTACTGTAAATAAATTGTCATGTTCCATGTCATTAAATCGATCTGTATCATATGCTCTCATTTCCCCTTTCCAGCTTTTTTAGGATTTGCCATTAAGCTGTCAGGTATAATGATGATTTGGGAAGTCTATAAACATATCACAGCTTATTCCTGCCACTGAAAAGAAAGAATTAAGCAGACATTATTTTCTCAGATGTTTGTTAGTAAGTTTTGATATAAATATTTTCTTCAGAGTGACTACATTTGAAATTACTTTGATTTCTAGTGCTCTTCTATATTCTCTTTTGATAAACTCTTTCATAAGTTACTGAAGTAACCTAAAGTGTAAATGTTCCTCTAGCTGTATTAACCTTCCACTTGTCTGTGTCGAACCTTTGAGCTTTGTCAGTGATTAAAAGCTTCACCGCTTGACGCGAACACCTCTTCCTGCTTTCTGTCCCTCCAGCTGTGAGGAACCTTGTCCTCCAGGTAAACATGGCCCCCTGTGTGAGCATCACTGTCCCTGTCAGAACGGTGGAACATGTCACCATGTCACTGGGGAGTGTTCCTGTCCTGCTGGCTGGATGGTGAGGACTTCATGACACATGCAAAAGCAGATAAGCATCATACAACTAATCTGCCGAAAAGAATATTTAAGGATTAGCAACAGTTAAGCGCCATGATACTGTATTATAAAATATACCTTCTTAAAAAACTTTTTTCATGCCACATTTTAAGTGACAAAAATGTATCAGTCATCATTTTCTCAACATGTGGCACTGGCTGCTGGGTCACACTCTTCATTTTGTAATAGTTTGGTCAAATGTTTGTTTGTTTGTTTGTTTTTTATCTGAATTAACTGCCAGGGAAATGTTACAATAGCAGAAAATTCTGGTATTTTTGTGTCCTAGGCTCTGTTTTACCATTTGGGCCTAAATGATTCTGAACATGGGACCAATGCAGTACATAAATGTTCTGCATTGGTCCTATCTTGAGCTGAAATACTGTGTCTGTGAAAGTTTTCAATGTAAATTAGTTTCATTTATTTGCTGTATTGTAAGATTAACATTTAGCTTCACTAATTCTGCAGCAAGCCTCTCTTCTTGTAACTTGAACTTGAAAACAGGAGTGTTTCCATCTATTTGTGGTACAGTTGCCCACAGCTTTAGTCTGTTCCTGCCCCCACAGTAGTCTTTGAAAGCTTTACCAAGTGTTGCACTTTACTGTGCCACATTTTAAATTAGGAACTAGATTTTCTTATTGCAAGTTAGTTTGATTTAGTTAGTTTCAATTAACATTAAGCTATGATTTCCATGCAGCAGCCTGTTTTTATCCCAGGGTAAATATTCACATTACAAATATGTCAACCAGAGTCAGTATTTTGTCCTGCAATATGTGAAGCTCTGGGAGTGAGCGTAGGCTGTAATATTTCTGTCTATTTTACACTAATGTCTTCCTGCAACAGCTCACCTCCCATGAGATTTCTCTTAGTCACGTCGTCGTTTGCATCACATTGTCAGACACCAAGTACTTTTACTTTGAAGTGGGTAGTTACCACATGGGATTACATTGCAGGTATCCGGTCATAACAGTCTTGCTTACTATTTATTGGACTGATTCCAGAGATTTTTGCTCCTTGTTTTACTTTAGATGGAAAAAATGAGACATCAGAGCCTAGTTTTTCAAATAACAGAATCTACCTTTAAAGAATTGTGAAATGTAAAGTTGCATATATTAAACCATTTGTCTTAGTTTAAATTAATTTGAGTTTTTTTTCCATAAATTCAAGTTTAAATCGAGGCCATAAACATGAACCAAGGGTTTTTCTTGGACTAGAGAAGTTTGAAACTGCTCACTGGATACTGTTGACATTACTGTCATTACCTAATTTGCTAATAATTAATATGTTTGATATGTCGCTTCCTTCCGAGACATGTTTGATGCGCATGTAAACGTGATATATTCTTCTCCATCAGGGTCCAGTGTGTGCCCAGCCATGTCCATTTGGATCTTTTGGCATTAATTGCTCCCAGGAGTGCACGTGTCGTAACGGAGGGCTATGTGACCATATCAGCGGTCAGTGCCAGTGCACAGCTGGCTACATTGGAGAAAGGTACAGCCTAAAATTATGGTTATAAGATGAAAGTTTACTGTACTCCACGGGGAAATTGGGTGGTTGCACGTAAAAATTTTATTTGAAGACCAGCAGAGAGAGAAAAACATGAGCAACAATGATGAGCAACATGCAATAAACAGTAAATACAGTGGCCAGATACAAATACTACAGTATGGCAATACAAATTTTAACGGTTATCTTTGAGTTTTTTTTAGGTTTCTTTGTGTGCGTATATTAGTCATACGCAGTATAAACCATTATAAATGAAGCATTCAGAAAGTGTTTTCATTTATTAATCTATGACCATCTTCCTGTCTTTAGTTGTTAGAAGTATTTCTAGAGAAATTGGACGAACTGATGCTAATGTTGGACTTGTTCTGTTGCTCTCTAGAGGTAAAGAGTTTGCCTAAAAAAGTTTAAGGGGGATAGCATGAAAGTATTTAATATTTTCAATAAGCAATCAAATGCTTTTCTTTTAACAAAGTGAGAGTATTCAATTCCTTTACTGTAACTATTCAAGGATTTTTATTTGGAAGATTTGACTCAGACATGCTTAACAGAATAACTTTCTGTATCAAAATAAGGGCTTTAATTCTGAAATGTTAACAAATTGTAATGGCTAATGGGCGTTTTTGTTAACTTTAAAGCTTTCTAGCAGTAAACCAGCAGAGAAAATTCATAACTACAACGTTTTTCAAACAATGCATGCTGCCATGTTCAACATAATGTGTTCTTACTACAGCAACTTGTGGCATACAAAGCTCTCCATAGAACACACTATATATGACAAAGGATGTTCCAAATAGGCGTCATATACTCAAACATATGCACCCACTGTATAGACAGTCATTAGAAGAACTACATGCATGCTATATGGTCTTGTATGCCTGTTGACAGGCTCTGGGAAAGGATATGTGAACACCTATCAGGTGAGAGCGATCGATTGTTGCTAGCTGTAGCTTGTCTTAGATTCAGAGCAGTTTGTCTTGTCCCATTTTTGTGATTGGCTTTGACGCAGCGTGCAGGTGAGCCCCAAGACTTGGGTATGGCCTGGATTTGCTGCTGGCATGGGAGGGAAGTGGGGGGTGGGGTGCACTTCAAAGGGCGTTGATATGTGTGCATGGGTGTCTTTGTGCCATTGGTGGGTGGGTATGTGTGAGTGAGTCAGTCGGTGGGTTGGGTGTGTGTGTGCGTGTCCATTTGTCCAATGTGTCCATTTCAGGCTTTGTCTCTTCAATGGACACTCATGCAGACGTTGCAGTAAGCTGCAGTACCAGGAGAGAGATTTCATTTCAAGCCAACAAAAAAGAAAATCAAAAACAAAATAAACACAGGAGTGCATTTTAAAGTGAGCCAACTTCATGGTTTGTGACGTAGAAGGACCATGGAGTGTACCTCACACCTTATTTGTTTCACTTCTCGGCTTTATATATATTATCTCCTCCTGGTGGTACTGCATCGTCTGACTGGTGTGTCTATTACGCGCTTTACTGTGATATCGGGTTGGTGTTTGTGTCTTGGTATGTGGGTGTGTGCATTGCTGGGCCTGAGGCTGGGGCTTGCTGATCCTTGGCCCCCAATTTATAGAGCTCATCTTGGAAAAAATGTACTTGGAATGAAATTCCATTCAGCTTTTCAAGGAGATGTTAGGACATTCTGATAATAATGGATTACTGTAGTTCAGCCTAGAAGTAATAAATGCATGAACTTGTTTTTCAGCATCACTCAAAGACAGGCATTTTATAATTTTAGAGATTGGCGGGCAATTTTGTTAATCATTGCTCAACCTATGTCTGCAGGAAAGCTTTTGAAAAGGAAACAAACTGGCAGGACAGCTGGGGTATTAAAGATAAGACCAATTCAGTTCTGTTTTATTTGTAAAGCACCAAATCACAACAACAGTTCCCTCATAGCACTTTAAATTGTAAGAGGAAGACCCTACAATAATACAGTGAAAACTGAGAAAACACTAACAATCATTTGACCCTGCTATGAGCAGGCACTTTGGCGACGGTGGAAGAGAAAACTCCTTTTTATACAGGAGGAACCCTTTGACAGAAAGGAAGGAAGAGAGGATAAAAGTTGCGCCGTGGAAGAGAGCAAGAGATTAATAATAATTAATGAGGCCTTGGTAGTAGAGCCCCTGTGATGGATGAGGTTTGCCCTGAGTTCCTGAGTTCCTGAAAGCACTGGCTGTTGTAGGGCTGTCTTGGTTGAAACGCCCCTACAATGTTGCGTGGATATCAGGGGTGGTACCTTTGGATTGGCAGAACAGGGCTGTGGCTCCCATCTTTAAGAAGGGGGACCAGAGGACTTCTGATGAGGCATGCAGTGACCTGGTCATGCCACATTGAACTCCTGCCATATTCTCCCTGTCTTTGACAGTTATAGCACAGCTAGTGCATCTTTTCACCGCAAAAACACAAAACCTAGTAAATAAATGCTTCAGGGCTAGCCCGACACCAAACGAGGTAGCGGAGTTAATAAGGCAAACAGTTAAAGCCGAAAGAGAAACGTTGCAGTCTGTGGTGAGAAACATAATGACCAAATCTTTAGAGTAAGCTTTATCACCACTTAGTGCATTTATCTCAGAACATGGAACCTTACTGTAGCCTGTCCAAGACAACTTAAATATGCAGGTGGATACATTATCAGTCAAAGTTGAAAACCTGCTGGGCTTTGTTTGCCAAGTCAAAAAGAATGCTAACCATTGGATTACTTAAATGGACAAGATTGCACTCAAGATTGGTCAGGTTGGAATTTTATGCCAAATACAGCAAATTTCAATATGGTGGTTGGCTGTTCTATGTTGTTTTCTTCATACACTAGGTTTCGCAATTACTTTGTACTGTACAGATGGGGAGCCGGCACAGGTTCACTAGACCTCGCTTCGTGACTGTCAAGGACGTTAGCTATTAAGGGGTTTGGGGGAGGCGGGTGGTGTGGATTCAACTACACAATAATCAACACATAAATGACACTACAGACATTCCAAAGGGACCCATAACCTTATAGATAGATAATGATAATGCTCGGTGTTAGTTTGTTTTTTTACTTATAGGTGTTGAGTATGCTTGGTTATTTTTATGTATTTGCATTTTAATCTAAAAATCTATGGCCAGTTTAACAGTTTTATCGATCAACTTTAACAGTATTATTATCTGTTAAAGGGCTGAATTCTCCCTTAAAATGTACTAGCATCCTCGATGTCCTGCACAGGCAGAAATTGGTTTTAGCTCTATTACAGAAGATTAATCTCAGACCAGTGGATGTAAACAGAATGGAGAATAAATATTATAAGACCATTGTTGCTTTAGGCGATGGTTCTAAACAGAAAGGGGTTATGATATTGATGAAACGTAACAGTAATATACAAGAGAAAATTAATTCCAGTTTATCGGTGGAGTTGGGCATATTGTTGCTTTAATCTAAAAGTGGAAAAACTAGTATATGTATCTATTTAAGGCCTTACCATCTATGAGGTACACATCTTCCCACTGTTGACTAAAGAACTGCCTAACTCGAGTGATTGTGCACTATTCACTGATATGAATACCTTCTTGAATCGAAACATGGACAGGTCTCATCACACCATATCAACAGCTAAAGCTCAACACTCGGCTGTCCATCCAAAGGTCAAAGGTTACTCTGTGAGGAAGCCAATGTTCACATTTTGGACAGAGAGGACAGATGGTTTGAAAGAGGAGTGAAAGAAGCATCTATGTCCACTGTGAGCGACCATCTTTGAACAGAGGCGGGGTTTACGACACCAACTCTCTGCCATCTATAATCCAGTTTTGAGATCCCTCCCCAGACGCCTTGATGCCCACTCACAGTGGTAGGTTTCATAGTGGGTTCTACACCCGTTTTCACACCTTGGCTCGTGTGATTAGGTAGAGCAGAGCTTCCCAATGTGTGAAGCCCGCCCCCTGGGTATCCCACATTCTTGATTTTTAGTTCACAAACACTTGTTGTAATTTTATTTCATTTCATTTATTTATTTATTTCACACTTGGTACAACAGATCAAACAAACCAACCACACTTTCTATCAATAAAGCACTACAACCATGTGTGAAAAATGACTAGTTAATGAGTAGTTAATGACTAACTACTGCTGACATTTTGGAGATGTTTGCTCTTTATACAGTAAAGTTACAGTTGGATACAAATAACATCAGGCTGATCCTGCCACGATTTGTCTAAATCAGGGACGAACAGAATCCTACAGCTGTTTATGTTTTTAAACCCATGTTGCACAGAGAGGCATTTTTTGAAAAATGTATTGACAGCAATGTTGAATATTATTACACAGGAAAAAACAACTACATGTAAAATAATCACATCGTGACGCCTCTGCCTTTCTAAATGGAGGGACAGTAACTGCGTGTTTATATGTAAGCGTGTAAAACTGAAGATAGATTAACAGTATTTCGTCTCTATCTGCCATTCTGCAATTCATCTCAGGTAAACAATAACGTGGCGCACAGCGTGACGTGAAAAAGGCGCATACCTTTGACGTCCACACATAAACGCAAAAAAGGAGTTTAAAAAATCTCAGTTTTCGGTGATTCGAAACACCGTTTACGTGGACGAAACAGCTGCGTTTTCAAAAATACCCGTGTAGGTGCGGACGCAGCATAAAAGAGTTAGTAGTTTATTTTCTTGCTACCTGTAATTTATTGCAGGTTACTTGTATTTGCTTAATTGTTTACTAAATGTTTGAGGTGTGAAATAAACAGCAATGGAGCTGTGGGGGGGAAATGTTTGGGAACCACTGAGGTAGAGGGTCATCAGGGGGTCCTTTTGTCCCTCTTGGGGGGAAACTCCCACAGGGTTTATATCTGGGACTCTCCACCATTTGACCTTAGAACTGAAGAAGCTTCTTGGGTGAGAGGTGAAACGTCTTCAAGCAACTCAAAGAAGTCCAGACGCTTTTCTTTCCAAGCTCCTTAGACTACCCTGACCTGGATGACTGAGAACCTTCACAGACAACAG